AAATGATCATATCAATGTTAGATCCTTGGAGCATAGCAATGCTTATACCAAAATGCTAGACACTTGCTATATACAGTAATAATTTAGTGACCAGTCATCAATAACCTTCTTGAATTACAAGGATATAAAGATCAATCAGAAGTTTCTAGAGTCTCTGGCCTGCAGTCTAGTGTTGATGAAACAGACTGATGTAAATGTGTTGGCTCAGCAGACTGTCTGGAAAATCTCCAGCCCTCACTGATGTGGACCACTGTAGACACATTATAATTATACGAGTCCGTCTGCTCCAGAACCATAAAAACTTTCAGACTGGGGATGATTTGATTAGATTTTTACAGCCGTTTTCTCAAGCAAGCATCACTTGGGGTCAGCGATTTTACATTTTATTGTATAACACAGTTTCTGTTATGGACGGAGCTCATTCCGAAGATCCTTTAGCTGGACTACAACTGGGGATGCTCATTTCGGTTAATTTTGCCAACCGACAACCACCAGATTAATATTAAAGTATTATTTAATTTAAAACAATGACATGTCTATTTTGTGTCTGACACATGAAATATTGCATTTCAAAATACTAATTTATTTTAACATGCGAACATATTAACAACAGAACATCTTCATGCTCCTGTGTTTCCGAAAGCATAGAAAAAATAAATAAATAAATAAAAAGAATAAAATAACTAGTCCTGCCCTAGATATTTTTCACTTAAATGACACATTAAGACAACATAACGAAAACACTGACTGAATCCTTTTTAAGACTCGGCATAGGCTGTTTTTTCCCATGATATGTTTTTTCCTTCCGTCAAATGAAAATAGCAGGCTACCTTAAATCGATCGATTCACTGAAAATATGCATTTTATTAATGCTCCACTGTTATTCTTATATCATAAACCTCTGTCAGCATTTTTAATGGAAGTCATTAGTTTAAATATTACAGGCCCTATCATACACCCGGCACAATAAGGCGCAAGACGTTTTTCCCCGACATGTTGCTATTTTCAGTCCAACCGAACCACAATCTTCCCGTTCCCTGTTACGTTGTTTAAATGGCAAATCCATTTGCACAACTTTGCAGACCCATGGGTATTTCAGTCTGAAAAAAAGGAGTTTGTTAAGGTGCACTGTTGGCGCATTGGTATTTTGAGGAACTAAAACACACTATGCAATAGGCCAGGTGTGGGCAAACTTGACCCTGGAGGGCCAGTGTTCTGCATAGTTTAGCTCCAACCCTATTCAAACAGACCTCCCTATAGAGTTCAAGTGATCTTGAAGACACTGATTAGTTTGTTCAGGTGTGTTTGACTAGTGTCGGAACAAAACTCTGCAGGGACACCGGCCCTCAAGGATCAAGTTTGCCCATCCCTGCAATAGACCAACTGAAAGCTGGTCTAAAGTCCAGTGCAGAGCTGGTTAGTTGTGCGCCTCGCCTACACATTGCTGTGAACACGCAGGATGTGCAGCAACACACAAATATCTATAAAAATGAAAAAGAATTAAAGGATTAAAATATTAAGAAAATTATTATTTTCTACATAAATATAAAAAACACTGCCTCCATGCCTCCTTCATCTAAGGCTTTTTTCAGTATATTCACAACAATTTGCTTTTGTGTAACATTATTGTTAATAGCAGTATTATTTATTATATGCATATTTATATTTGTTTTATTAAAAACAAGCTTAGATTTGTCAACCTGTCAGGTTTTAGACCATATGGGCACAGCATGTGTGTTTTGATATACTCAGTTTTTTGACCATACTTCGTTATTATTGTTCATTTATTCGTTTGCTGGAAATTAAAACTGAATTTAGAAATAGTTTAAAAACAAATCTTTGCACTTAACAAACAAAATTAATTTTGTAGGCTAATGGATGTCTTCAGCCGAGTGTGTACAACCCCGTTTCCTATGTTTTACGCAGCGGATGCCCTTCCAGCTGCAACCCATTGCTGGGGAACATCCATACACACTCATTCACACTTATACACTACGGACAATTTAGCTTACCCAATTCACCTATAGCGTCATTGGACTTGTGGGGAAACCGGAGCAGCCGGAAGAAACCTACACGAACACGAGTAGAATATGCAAACTCCACGCTGAAATGCCAACTGACCCAGCTGAGGCTAAAACCAGTGACCTTCTTGCTGTAAGGCGATTGTGCCTCCCAATGCGCCACCGTGACGCCACTGATACTATTAATCGGTTAAAAACGCACCCTTTCGGTTAACGATGATTTCGTTTTTATGAGCATCTTTAGCTATCAATATTATTAAAATTGAGTTATTACAACTATAATGTTTAGTAATGTCTTGAACAAACTTCTTTCCCTTAAAAAAGAATTGGGGAAAATATACAATAGGGCTAATAATTCTGACTCCAACTGTATATCAATAGATTTGACTCTGATAGGCTGATGTGAGCTTACGTCAGTATCCAGCAGGTTCTGCATGCTGGTTTCTGCTGCGTCTCTGGACTCCTCAAACTTCTCCATTGCCATCCGGAGCTCCTCATCAGCAATTTTCCCCTGACGTTTCTTCTTGTAGTCGTAATCCAGTCGACGGCCCTCCAGTTTCTTCAAGTGATGCTGAGAAAAAAGAAAAAAAGAAAATATTATTATTATTATTATTATCATCAACAGCCCTAGTGCAAACACTGAGTCTCTCTTAAGCATGAGAAGATGAACGCATCTGTTTTGCCAACATTTAACAACAGCACTGCACAATTATCTTTTATCTATACATTCATTCTGTTTAGCTATCCATTAAAAATCTCACTCACTGCTTAACTAACCAAGACTGGTTACGGCCTCTGCATATTGCAAATGCTTTTATTATATTTAATTGTATGTCAATTTGTACAAAAGTTTCTGATAAAAAAAATATTTTTTTGGAAATTCTAAATTTATACAGACAACTTCAGAAAAATACATTCTTTTAAACTGTATAAATACATCAAGTTATTATTATTATTATTATTATTATTATTATTATTAATAATAATACCTCAAATTGATTTTAATACACAATAATAATGACAACAATAATAATAATAATATGACTAATAATACTAATACTACTACAAATAATACTAATAATACTAACAATACTACTAACAATACTACTAATAACACTAATACTACTCATACTAATACTACTCATACTAATACTACTAATACCAATACTACTAATACTGATACTACAAATACTAGTTATACTAATAATACCAATTATACTAATACTACTTCTATTAATAATACTAATACAACTAATACTAATAATACCACTAATACTACTGATATGAATACTAATACTACTATACTGTAGCTAATACTACTAATACTAATACTAACAGTACAATTCATGCTACTTCTAGTAATACTACTAATCCTAATACTACCAATACTACTAATACTAATAGTAATATTACTAATAATACTACAAATAATACTCTTAACACTAATACTAATAATAACAATACTACTACTAATAATAACAATACCACAAATACTAATACTACTAATAGTAATATTACTAATAATACTACTACTAATACTACTTATAGTAATAATACTACAAATAATACTCCTAACACTAATACTAATAATAACAGTACTACTACCAATACTAATAATACCAATACTATGAATACTAATACTACTAATAGTAATACTACTAATAATACTAATACTACTTATAGTAATAATGCTAACACTACTAATACTAATATTAACAACATATAATCATTAATATATACAGTAATACTATAATTTGGCAAATTTAATTTTGTTATTCTGCATTGTAATAAATTATGAAAATGTTATCATAAACCATAATTCTAAAACTATTATTGTAAATTATAAAAATGGTCAGTTCCATAATCATTTGTATTTTTTTTTCACAAAAACATGACATTTACATTGAATACCATCCAAGCCAATAACAACCCTTGGTTTGTAAGACTGAAGATTTAAATCAATAAACTCTTGTTTGATCATTCAGACTGCAGTTGATTCCAGTTTTCCACCTGAATGTCTTTCAGGTCCTTGTCGACTATCGTTTGGAAAGGGTCGATGAAGTTCTGCTTGACGTCAATGTCTAGAGAGTCTTTGACTTCTGCCAATCTCTTCATGGCCTCCCCCATCTCCACTAAAGCACCGCCTGTCAAACAGTGCAGAACATACACAAAACTATCACTTAAAAATAATAGTATAAAAAAGTCATGATTTTAATGAGTAAAATATCATACATGCAGTGTTGAATACATTGTGATTTTTCCTGATAAATGCAAAGGAGATGTTGACATGAAATTGACCTAAATTTTGGCAAAAACCTAAACACTTTAAACATATAAATAAACCAAAATATTTCATACTTTGTATAACAGACTTTTTGTGGTAATAATAGCTTTTAAGACGCCTCTTGTATGCAGAATGAAGTCACATACATTGCTCAGGTGTAAAAATCTTGACCGTTCTGTGGGTCGTCTCTTTTGGACTGCTGTTTACTTCTTATTTTCTATTGGATTCAGGATCAGGGGATTGGTTGGGCCATTCAAGCAGCTTTATTTTCTTTTCTGAATCCAATTGGGAGTTCCTTGCCAGTGTTTTACTTGATTCTTTTATATTTGATTCTTTTTATTTATATCATCCTATTTTATTTCAGTCTCTTTCAGTTTATTTCAAGCTCTTATTTTGTTTCATTCATTCATTTTCTTTTTGGCTTAGTGCCTTTTTTAATCTGGGGTCGCCACAGCGGAATGAACTGCCGACTTATCCAGCATATGTTTTACACAACAGATGCCCTTCCAGCTGCAACCCATCACTGGGAAACACCCGCACACTTCCATTCATACATACACAACAAACAATTTTAGCTTATTCAAGTCACCTATACCGCATGTATTTGGACTTGTGGGGGAAATCGAAACACCCGGAGAAAACACACACCAATACGGGGAGAACATGCAAACTCCACACAGAAATGGCAACTAACCCAGCCTAGGCTCGAACCAGCAACCTTCTTGCTGTGAGGCGACAGCACTACTTACTACACCACCCTTATTTTATTTCACTCTCTTTCATTTTGTTTTTATTTATCTATTAATTTAATTTAATATAAATTCAATATTAATTACATTTAATTTAATGTGTTTTCTTGCTGAAATGTCCACCCTGGTTTCATCTTCATTATCTAGCGATGTAGGTGTTTAGACTAAAGCAGCTAATATTCATTTACACCGATGAGGGGCAGGGTTGCTTTCTAAAAACAGAGATTTCAGCTGCTCTCTGGGCTTTCCATGTCTTTTTACACCTCCCTTTCTTCCTGTGTTCAATACTTTTTACCGGCGTAATTTAATTTAGTTACACACAACTTAATTTTTAAACTAATTAGCTTTGTTTTCTTTGTATATATGGATTACATTTAAGGATGCTTCGATTAATTGGGCAGAGATTGGTATCGGCCGATAATTTTATGACTCGATCAGTACTCACCAATCTGGCCGATCTCATGAACCGATCGCAAGTGTTTGTTTACAAGTTTACAAGCAGGGGAAGACACACGTGCTCACCCATATATTACACATCAGCAGCACTAAAACACATGATGCGTGAAGTAAATGAAGCAAGGTAAACGATGTGCAAGCGATTGCAAGGCGAAATATACACTGGTAAAATAAATAACCCATTTATTTGTAATTTATAGGCCTACTGCCTTCTAGTGAAGAAGTAATAGATATATAGGTGCGCATTTTAACTTCTTGTGCATCAAATATGCACTCCATTTTTTTCTTGATTGAGACTTGTTGGATTGCTTTTCCATCATTTGCAATGTTTACAGATTGCATTATTAGTCATTTTCTTAACTTTCTTAAACTGTTTAATATTATTTTCTGTAAAGCTGCTTCCGACCATGACATGTTTACACTAGATGGTTATAAGAGACATGTTTAGAGGATTATATGCAACATCCTTCCTTAACTGTCTTAGGTAAGGAGAGATCTACACTTAAAGGGTCACGAAACACCAAAACACATGTTTTGAGCTGTTGACAGTCATATATGTGTCCCATGCTGCTAAAAACACTATTAGGACACATATATTACACTAAAAAGTGAAAATTGGTTGTTTTTGCGTTATTTCGAGCAAATTCGTACTTCAGGTTTAAAAGTAATTTTTGAAGCTGCGTCACAGCCATGAGATCTTAGCATGTATTCCAGCGTGTAGACTGGACGTTTGTACCTGGGAGTGCCTTATTACGTCTCTGAGTGTGCTGCATTAATGCATGAGTAAGACTTGGTTCAAACCAATCAGCATGCTCTATTTTGCAACTTCATTAATATGCATGACAGCTTCCAAGACAGAGAGAGAGGACACGTTGTGTTGCCAAAACAAGTGTGTAGTGTTGCTTTTATAATTTGCTGCAGTGAAGTTTTGTTTTCATTTTCTCTCTATGAGAGCGCAGCTGGACTCACATGTGGATTACAGTGCATGCAACGCTCGACAACAATACCTGTCTAAGGAACTTTTTTCTTTTTTACCAGAGAGCTTCTCATCTGGAAATAGTGAGATCTGGATTTGCTGCTTGTCTCCTTCTAATAAAGACGCAGCTCTAGTTGGTGATGATTGTCCTGTCTCTACAGATTTGGTAAGCGAGCGACCAGTGCTCTTTGTTTGTTTATTTAGATGGCAAAGTAAGTTCGTATGGAACTAACTATTACACGAGTGTAAACATGTTAGCACCACAGTCAAACTTACCGTTGTGTAGGATTTTCATCACATTTTGTGACAGGAATAATGCACACTGCTTTCTGACGCTAACTGCCGAGTGCATCTAAGTTTCTGGGAAATGCGGAAGTTTTTTTTATCTCATTCGCTGTGCAGTAACAAACATTGCATGAAAAATACACGCTTAGAACAGTTCCACGAATCAAATATCTCTTTTGTCACGAAGGGCATGAATGAAATTCCTGAATGAAAGAGCCAAACTGCTTCGGAATCAGTACTCGGTATCAGCCGATCACCATCACAAGGAGTATCGGCTGCAAAAATCCTGATCTGAGCATCCCTAATAACACTGGTTGTTAATGACATTTGGTGAAAATTAAAAGTCAACAGCGCTTTTGGAAATATGAAGAGATAGAAATAAAAAGGTCAATTTTCAATACTTCTCTTACCTGCTGCATATGCCAGATCTCTAATAGCAAAATAAGAATGACTAGACTTCCTAGTCTAGACTTCTTGTGTGTCTTTAAGTGTTACTGTATGTTTGATATTTTATACTTTAGGTACAAATGAAATGCAGTGTTTATAATAGTATCACCCTTAATAAAAGTATAAAGGAAGCTTTTTTTAAAAGTCTGTATCTATTACTTAATATATTAGGATAAATGTAAATTCTGCTCTTATCGTGAACAAAAAATTATTACACAGATATTGGCTAACGAATTTAAATGAGCAATATATTTTTTAAGTATACTCCCATTGATCTTTTATAATTATTTAGTACACCTGGTGAGCAGGAAGGGGAAACAGTTCAAGCATGACCTCCTGTTATGAACATGAGGAAACACACAGGCCAAAGTCATTCAGTCATCCATCACAATGAGGAAAAGCAGCAACCAGATCTGTGATTTGCAGTAAAAGGATGCTGAGCTTCACATAATGGGAAGCGTCTATAGAACAGCAAAAACATTAAAGACATCCACCCTTAGGGTATTAATTAAAAAATTCCAGTGAGTAGGAAGTATTCAGCTTGATGTCATGAGGAAAGTAATCATTTTAAGAACTGTCAAAAAACAGTGGCTAATTTCTAGGAATTCGCGTGATTTCATTAGTAATGCATTTTCAGCTTTTTTGTTCATATTTTGGAGCAAAAGACCCAAAGGTTATATAATAAAGACAGTTTTCCCAGGCTTCTTTGCTCATATTTATCAAGGGTGCCAATATTAGTGGAGGACACTGAAAACTAGAACAGTTTTCTGTTTGTTAAAGTGTTAGAGAAAGAGCACTCGTTCTTCTTACCGAAGTTGGTGTCTTCTCCCATGTCTCGACCGTATTTCAGCATGCATTCTCCCAGAAGGCCCTCTGCCTGTGGATAACCAAGACTCTTGACCTGCCCGCGCATCTTAGACATGGTGTTCGCCATCGTCAGCCTCGCTCTCGATGCTACAGTACCACACACACGAATAAACACACACACACAAATGAACACAAATGTACTGTGGAAAAAATAAAAAATAAATAAATAAATAAATATATATATATATATATATATATATATATATATATATATATATATATATATATATTTTTTTTTTTTTTTTTTCCATCCATCTACTCCGTAATGATTTAATAGTAATGATTTAATAGTCTAAATGTTATGTTTACAATCCCTAGACAACTTATTAAATCATAACAGATGGACTAAAATGACGTAATGTATTCCTACACAGATTCCACGTATCTCTCCAAGTTGCTTACATTCAATACAGACCCAAAAAAGTCTTAAGTAATATAACGTCACAAGTTCCATTGCTATTTGTAATGGATCTTAATCGAATTTTATTTGAAATGAAATGGCGTCCAAACTGCATCTGTCCGGAGGCGAAAAAAGGAAGAAAAGAAAAGCAGAGGGGAAAAAATACTTGTTTAAATAATAGTTGTTTTTTTTTTTTTTACATATTTTTTACATATTTATTATAGGTCAAATATGCTACAGTTATAAACAATGTATACATTAAAACAGGGGTTTTCAAAGAGTGAGACGCGCCTCCCCTGGGGGGCGCCAGAGCATGTCAGGGGAGGCACGGGAAAAAATATTATATAATAAAAATCTAATTATTAAGTTTAATTATTATATGTATTTTTATTATATTTAAACATTTTAATTAAACAAAGCTAAAAAAATAATACGTCAAAAATAAGAAAACCTTTTTTACCCAGAAGGCCATAGCTGTGAATTCGCTTCTGTTTGGCAAGCCCGCCAATACTGGTATATGCCTGCTAATACAATGGATCGGTTTCTGAGACCCCCCGATTCAAAGCCTTCAAGTTCAGGGCTTACACCCAAAAGACGACGATATGATGATCAGTATTTGAGTTTAGGATTTACGTGGACAGGACCAGCTGATGAACCACGACCTTTATGTGTGGTTTGTCAAGATATTTTGGCTAATGACAGCATGAGACCCGCTAAACTTCGACTGTTTTGACTGGGATGGACAGTTCTTGGATCTGTTCTATTCATATTGAACCATCATCCTAGTTTTAAAAACGTTATAATAAAATACTTGTTATTACTCTGTAAATTATTGCACTTTCATGCAAATGATGATAAAAGTGAGTTAACAGTCTGACATCTGTCTGTGTCTTTATATATACTGTATATATATATATATATATATATATATATATATATATATATATATATGTGTGTGTGTGTGTGTGTGTGTGTGTGTGTGTGTGTGTGTGTGTGTGTGTGTGTGTGTGTGTGTGTGCGCGTGTGTGTGTGTGTGTGTGTGTGTGTTTGGGAGGAGGGGGGCGCCAATGGATAAGTTGTGTCAAAAGGGAGGCCTACTGTCTTAGACTTTGAAAAACCCTGCATTAAAATATAAAAATTTGGTCTTTACACCAGTGGGCCCAATTTTTTATTTTTAATCTCGCCTAGGGCCCCTCAACCCTACAGGCTGGCACTGGCTGTGTTTGATTAGGGTTGGAGCAAAACAGTGCAGAGCTGTGGCCCTCCAGCAATCCAGTGAGACCTATGAATTAGAACTTAGGGAAACAAAAATATGATAAACTCAATGCTCAATAAATGAAAGTATTTATGAAAATTGATAAAAACAGAGTTATGTTTTTGCAAATGAACTCAACATATATAGGTAATAATATAACAAATCAATAAATTTGGCAGATGGTTGGAATCATAAATTTTTTCACACACTTTTAAGGAAAAAAAGCCTTTATTTCTTATATTTTTATATGTAGGTACACAAAAAAAATGTCATTTTAACATCGTTTAGACATTTGTATGAAAACAACAACAAAAATGCAGAATATACAGTTAAAATCAGCAATATTAGCTCTCTTCAATTATTAACCCTCCTGTATATTTTCCCTCAATTTCTCTTAACGGATTTCTTTTATGTTTGCCACGATGACAGTACATAATATTTTACTAGATTATTTACTTAGACACTAATATTCTACGGAGACCCGGAAGGGACGTAGTGGAGGAGAAAAAAAATTGGCTGGGTGAAAAACAATTATGGGTAGGATAAAAAAAAGGGGTGAAAGAAAAAATGGATGGGAGGAAAATATATATTTCTAAGTTTTTGCTTTCTCTCGCAAAGTTTTGCGTTCCATCGCAAAGAGTTCCCTTGCAAAGATGTTTTGCGTTCTCTCGCAAAACTGTTTCTCCACGAACACTTCCTGTGCACTTCACTCACGTAAACCCTCCCATTTGGCCGAAATTCTCACATGTTTTACCACTTTCTTTACATTAAAGCTGTGCGTCGATCGTCGCCTTTCATATGCAACCTCTGAACCCGTGAACGGATGTATAAGCGCTGACTGACAGATGCGCTCCGTACAATAAACTGATCCCAGATCAGCTTCTGTACACACGATTTAAAGTGACACCTCTGTTATCAAACAATTGAGCGGCAAATGAATCTCATGTTTTGTTTCGTTTGATAGCAGAGGTGTCACTGTAAGAATACACAAATCTATAATGAAATCATTCCAATACTGTTTGTGCTCATTTCAGAGAAAATTCGCTGTTTAAAATAAAACATGCAAGACGGAGATGTTTACATATTTTTCAGTGTATTTGTCTGTTTAAACACACCCGAATCCAAAAGTGTCATGCACTTTTGCTCCTCTGTAAATGGCATGTACAGAAGCTGATCTGGGATCAGTTTATTGTACGGAGCGCATCTGTCAGACAGCGCTTGCATGCATTCACAGGTTCAGAGGTAGCATACGAAAGGCGACGTTTGACACACAGCTTTAATGTATTAAAAATATATCAGAAATATGGGAAAAGACTTAGGGCCCTATCATACACCCGGCGCAATGTGGCGCAAGACTTTAGTCTTTTGCTAGTTTCAGCTTGGCGCAAGAGTCGTTTTGAGGCATCGCCCTGCGCCGTTTAAATAGAAAATTCATTAGCGCTCATATGTGCGCCCATAGGCGTTCAGGTCTAAAAAGGAAGGTGTTCTGAGGCGGACCGCTGGCGCGTCGCTATTTTGAGAAACTATAATAGATTTTTTATTAGACCAAAACAAACCTGGTCTAAACTCCAGCGCAGAGTTGCGCCTCGCTTACGCACTGCTTAATACGCACAAGAGAGCAATAGGCAAATATCTTTACATATGAAAAAAAAATAAATATTAAGGATATATACGAATAGATATAGGATATAAATATAAAGGATTAAAATATTACAAAACATTATTTTCTAGCCTACATAAATATGAAAAATCACTGCTTTTTTGTCTTCATCTCGGGAGGCTTTTTCAGTTCATTCATAACAATTTGCTTTTGTATAATGTTATTATTATTGGCAGTATTATTTAATATATCCATATTTATATTTGTTTTATTAAAAACAAGCTTAGATTTGCCCACCTGTCAGGTTTTAGACCATATGGGGCACAGCATGTGTTTTAGGATATAACTCTGTTTTTTGAGCACACTTCGTTATTATTGTTTATTTATTTGTTTGCTGGAAATTAGAACTGAATTTAGAAATAGCTTTGAAACAAATATTTGTGCTTAACAAACGCAATTAATTATTTATAGACTAATTGATGTCTGTGCATAAAGGTTTCCCTATCCAAGAACGAAAGTGAAAGTAGACCCATTATATTTCATTCTCACGCAGTAGATGCTCTGTTTAACAGTTTTCTGTAAAAAAAAAAACTGTTAACTGTTTACTGTTTGCTAGTGAAATGCTCAGACTTTCCACTTAGACTTACTTTACGTCCTGTAAATAGCGAATGCGCTTAAGATGCGACGCAGCTGGCTCTTAAAGGGAATGGGAGATGAGGCTCTAATTGGTTTATTCTCAAAACACACCTATAACTCATTAAGAAAATAAACTCAACCCTTTTAGACCATGCGCCTTGGCGCAAAGCGTTTTTTCTCAACCCTAAATTAGCAAAAATGCGTTCTGACACGCCCTGAAAGCGTTTGCGCCCTGCGTTTTGCGATCTGCGCATGGACCGTCAAAATAGAGCCCTTAATGATAAGATGATAGTGGGATAGAATAGTAAAATACCGGAGAATTTCAGCAAAAACAGGAGGGTTTACATGAATGAGAACAGGAAGCGTTTGTGGAGAAACAGTTTTTCGAGATAACGCAAAACATCTTTGCGAGGGAATGTAAAAAAAAAAAAAATAATAATTTTTTTTTAATTTATTAAGTTAGTTTTTTTTTTCTCCCACCCAGTTTTTTTTCTTCCACCAATTTTTTTTTCCTACACCTATTTTTTTTCCCCACCATCATGTCCCTTCTGGGTCTCCGTAATATTCAGCTTAGTGACATTTAAAGGTTTAACTAGGTAAATTATGCTAATTAGGCAAGTCATAGTTTAATGATAGTTTGTTCTGTAGACAATCAAAAACAAATATTGCTTAAAGAAACTACTGTGAACAATTCCTTGCTCTGTTAAACATCATTTGGGAAATATTAAAAAAAAATTATTTCACAGGATTTTGACTTCGACTATATATACAAGCAGATAGGAAGCACATTTTTAGTGTTTTCACCTGGATTTGGCTGCAGGTATTCAGTAGTTTTGCAGAGCACATCTGATATGGCTTTACTGGTGATGTCAGCTTTCTGTGAAGCACAAATAACGGAGAATAGGTGTGTATTTTTACATCACTCTGTCAACAGAGGCACTCTTTGACCTCTACATCTACAGCTCAGACAAAGACAAAGCTGAAACAATCAGAAACCGTCACACCCACTAAAACAACAGCCATCCAGGAAGATCACTGAAAGTCATATAGCTTATCTGTGGTTTACCACTGAAGAAAAATGCAAAAAATGTGCTGCTGGGTATCTATTAATAAACCAGTCGAATCCAAAGATCTATTGCTGAAAAGAAAGTAATGAAAATATATTACAATTAAATAAACAAAAAAGTGGTTTTATCTTATGATAAACTGGTAAATAATATACTTTAAAAAAAATTTAATTAATTTTTTAATATTTTATTAAATTTAATAATTTAGCATTTTTTAGGATTTAAATGAAACTGTATTAATTGTAATCTTAATTTAATTTAATTATTTTTATTTAATTTAATTATTTTATTTGATTATTTTATTTTATTATTTTATTTCATTATTTTATTTATTTTAATTTCTTGTTTTATTTCGTTTTATTATTTTTTATTTTATTTTAATATTTTTAGTTTAACTAATTATTTTTATTTTATTTTATTATTTTTTTATTTAATTTCATTCTTTTTTATTTAACTGCATTTTTAATTTCATTTATTTTTCATTATTTTTTATTTTATAGTATTTCATTCTTTTATATCTTTTAATTTTATTCTTTTTTATTTTATTTAACTACATTTTTAATTTATTTAATTTCATAATATTTCATTTAATTATTTTTTATTTAATTGAATTTTTTTCATTTATTTTATTTTATTTGATTCTTTTTTATTTTATTTATTTTATTTGATACTTTTATTTAGATCATTATATGATATTTGATTTCATTCTATTCTATTTTAATGAATTCTCTTTTATTTTATTTCAATCCCTTTAATTTTTATTTATTTTATTTAACTGCATTTTTAATTTCATTTATTTTTCATTATTTTTTATTTTATAGTATTTCATTCTTTTATATCTTTTAATTTTATTCTTTTTTATTTTATTTAACTACATTTTTAATTTATTTAATTTCATAATATTTCATTTAATTATTTTTTATTTAATTGAATTTTTTTCATTTATTTTATTTTATTTGATTCTTTTTTATTTTATTTATTTTATTTGATACTTTTATTTAGATCATTATATGATATTTGATTTCATTCTATTCTATTTTAATGAATTCTCTTTTATTTTATTTCAATATCCTTTAATTTTTATTTATTTTATTTTGAAACAAGCTTCTGAATTTACAATGTATTTTAATGCTTTTGAGTAAAATGCATATTTTTTTAAATAAATTAAATATCTTGTTAAATAACCAATATTTAGTGGAATAACCCTAAATTTGTCATTCACAACAAATACATGGTTTTTCTGAACAATCATTTTCTGGAAAATGCTCTAAAATTATACATTTAATAACGATAATAATAATAATATATAATTTATTAAATGCTATTTTTTTAAATGGGGAAGAAATTTTAAAATCAGCATTACACTCACACGCACACACACACCTATAAATTAGGTGAAACCAGATAAACTGTAATTTTCAGGTGGTCTCTTTATTACTTATACATATAGCTGCATATATAAAAAAAACAGGCATTTAAAAGAGAAAATGTGGAGCTCATGTTTTTTAAAGCCTTTCTAAAAAAAAATGTTCGGTATGCATTGTATAGCAGTATAAATAGTCTGTAGGGAGGGGCTCCTTTACCACTTCTAGATCTTCTGGTTTGACATTACTGACGAGTTTCCTGTGGGCGGAAGCGGAACTGACCACTTTTAACATTATATTTAAAATACACCATCCCAAAACATTACATAAGTCACAAAATGATTGTCATTGGATTTCTAAGTAAAGATAGTAGCAGTATAGTTCATATCATGCCTATTTTACATAATAAAAGTTTCTTTGGCCAGTCATTCACAGTTGTGTAGTCCTTTTTGAAAAGCTATTTTGACTTTTCTGAGCTTTGACTCAATATCAGCATCTCAATTTAAATGTGAAACATGTGTTACCCTCTCCAGATCTTTGAAGTCCTCGTCCAGTTTGGTTCCTTCTGCTCCTCCAACCTTCTCACTCATCAACTAGAATAAAAAAAACAAATAAAAGTCAAACCTCTGATCAATGCAAGGGGAATAACAGTTTTATATTGCACTGACGGTATTTTATTTTCCTTAAAGTTACAGAGACTTTTATTTCAGTATGTTGATGTACTTCCAACTGAAACGGAATATTGAGTACTGGGTGTAGGGGGCAACTAACGGTAAGAGGGATGTGGTTAAGATTATTGTGACTTATATAAGTAATATCATTCATTTATTAATTTTCTTGTCGGCTTAGTCCCTTTATTAATCCAGGGTCACCACAGCGAAATGAACCGCCAACCTATCCAGCAAATTTTTTACACAGCAGATGCCCTTCCAGCCGCAACCCATCCCTGGGAAACACACACACACACACACACATATACGCACACGCACACACACACGTGCGCGCACGCACGCACGCACGCACGCACGCACGCACGCACGCACGCACGCACGCACGCACGCACGCACGCACGCACGCACACACACACACACACACACACACACACACACACACACAATTTAGCCTACCAAATTCACCTGTACCACATGTCTTTGGACTGTGGGGGAAACCGGAGCACCCGGAGGAAACCCACGTGAACACAGGGAGAATAAGTAATATCAGTAGCTAAAATGTCCATACTCCCGAATATAAACTATTTACTTTCAATGATTCCAACACAGCCCACTCACCTAGTTTAAACTTCTAGATTCAATTACTACAAAATTCTACTGAAAAAGCAGGACCCCAAGAATTAAATTGACAACCCTAGAGATACCATAATCACGAGGAGGATTAAAAGCACCGCATTTTCACAATTATTTTTCTGGCAAATCAGCTTTAAAACATACACAAATTGATCCAACTGAACTCATCAGAAAACACATGGCAAGATCAATCTGCAACAATCAATGAACAATCAATCTGCAAGGACAAGAATATTGTGGCTGATGCAGTCAAACTGATGTCAGAGGAAGACAGCCCCTCCAAACGCAGAAGAAAATGATCAGACTTTGATTGTGGAATACCAAAACAAACACAATAACTTTTCACATAGACTTTAATCAAGTTGATGTGTATGACTTTCTTCAGTCAGAGGAACACAGTTGGAGTAGTTTTAAACTTTAACACTGAACTCACTCCTGCGTTATTAAACTAACCTATACACCGGCAGGGGGTTAACATATATCTTATGAAGCAGTCAAGGATTTGATGCGACAAAAACATTTAACATTTTTAAGTTATTAAATCAAATTAACTAAAACACTTTGTTCTTAGCCATTTTTTGGCTTACTGCAAACTAGCTAGTACAAAATGCAGCAGCCAGAGTTATTACCAGGTCTAGAAAATATGATCATATCACCCCAATTTTATCCTCCTTACACTGGCTGCCTCTTGACTTTCGTATTGATTTTAAAATATTGCTTCTTACCTATAAAAGCCTTAAATAATCTAGCTCCTGTTTATCCAACCAAACTTCTGTCTCTCTACAATTCAAACCGCTCTGTAAGATCTCAAAACTCAGGGCTTCTAGTACCTAGAATAGCAAAGTCAAAGTCGAGTAAAGAAGGTCGAACCTTCTCATTTATGGCTCCTAAACACTGGAATAGCCTTCCTGATAATGTCCGAGGCTCAGACACACTCTAGCAGTTCAAAACTAGATTAAAGACCTATCTGTTTAGTAAAGCATACACTCAATGCATCACTTAGCGGTAAGATGCATGAATGTGCCCCACGCAGGATTTTGCATCTCGTTTATATGCATGAACAGCAGCTACGCTAATTATCCTCTTTCTTCTCTATTTCCACCTGGGAATACTCATGCGGAGGTCCTCAGGGGCTATGCAGCGCCACTGATGTGATTCAAGACCCATAACGAGATGATGCCAATGTTTCTATAATCCTAGACCAGGCTGTATCCTGAGCAGCAGCTGTGGTGGTCTTGGAGGAGTGGAGAGCATCAAACTGATTCCTGTGATGCTCCAGGGACAGACAAGTCTTTGCTGACGTCAAGCGTTCTCCATCCTCCGGTGCCTAGACTGCAGGTCTGCACAAGACGTTTGGCCAGAGGAGAAATGGTTGTGCCCAACAGAATCTGGTTTCTCTCAAGGTTTTTTAATAATTCACTTTCTTCAATTGGTGAAGTTTTTTCCTCGCCACTGTCGCCACTGGCTTGCATGGTTCCAGATCTGTAGAGCTGCACATCAATAGATTTGCTCTTCAGTGTTTGGACTCTCAGTAGTGATTATTTATCCACACTGACCTGAACTTACACTCTGAAAACTGGATTAACATTGTTTAAATTTACTATAAAATTCTATGGGAAGCTGCAGACACAATCTACATTGTAAAAAGCACTATAGAAATAAAGGTGGATTGAACTGAATTAAATTGAATGATGATGATGGTGGTTCAAACAAATATGGCTGTGCCAAAAAAAAAAAAAGTCAATGGCTGTTTCTCAATTCCAAGAACGCAGAGAACTGACTTGCGTTCTTGTGGAGACCGGTCTTGCCAGGTGTCCTCGGAAGAACGAACTCAGGAGACCGCGAGGGCAGAGAACGCATCCTTTGAGAAATGAGATGCTGCGTTCTTCCTGATGAACATGACATTCACGCGTTTTAAATATTAAATTATTTAAACATTACAGCATTCATACAACAATTTATTGTTTCCCCCCTCTTCAAAATATATACTTTGCATAAAAACATTATAAATATGCTCTGCACAATATAAATAAAACAGATTTTAATACGATTTTCAGCAAACAAACACCCTTAATGTGTTTATTCCTTTATTAAGATGTCCATGGTGATGTTTACTTTCACCATTTCATTTAGGGAAACTCATGAGGTAAATAAGTCATATCTCTGAACTTTAATAATAAATCTAAATAAAATGCTCCGCTTCCCACCTCCAGTCGCAATGACTTCTGGGACTTCCAGAGCGAGTTTGGTGCTCAAGTCTGCATCGGTGCGTCCTCGAAATCAAGAACACATCCGGGAAGTTTCACGCGTCCTCCGTACTTGCGGTCTTGAGTATTGGAACTGAACTTAGGCAGCTGATAATGACGTTGCACAAGAACACGAGGACGCAAGACCGCTGAAGAACGCATATTGAGAAACAGCCAATCTCTTCTTCTGTTACAATCAATCATCTGACATTTAGACTACGGAACATTCCGCTATGAATGTGTCTTAAGTCGTTTGTCAAATGTCAAACACATCAATATGCTTCATAACACATATGTTCACCCTCTGGCAGAGTGTGAGTTAGTATTATGATGGATTTATGAACTTTAGGAAGCTTCAAAAAAAAAAAAAAAAAAAAAAAAAAAAAAAAAAAAAAAAAGGGTCCCTACACGACAGCATTATACAGCAAGGAAGAGCCATGATGAAATAAAAATCTACTGTTTTCATACGATAGAAGGAAGTTATATACACAGAAGATTGCTTGAGCGTGAGAATAATATGGGGTAATTACATTTTTTTGGTTGAACTAATTCTATTCTGACTATTAATGCCATTTCAGTGAAAGGCTAATAAATAAATCCCCCACAATACTTGATAAGAAAAAATAAAATACATATACTAAACACTTTGCTTAATATTTGGCTGACAACATGTTTGTCATAAATGTTCACAAAGAAGTCTGAAACAACATAAGGTGGGCAAATGATGACAGAATTGACCTATTTGGACTAACTGTGCCTTAAAACCCTTGACTCTTACTGTATGTCCAGTAGGTTTGCATGATTAAGTACTAAAAGAAAAGAAAATGCAATTGGTTTGCAAATGCAAAGGTGAGGAGAAGCATCAGCCCTCATGTTAAAGCCTCAGGCATTCAGCTAAATATCTGCTGCACATTCTGTGGAAAAAAACAAGGGTGTTTGGCATGTAAACAACTTTAACTATTTTTTAATTTAGTCTTTCTGATTGTCTGTTTATATGGGGGCCTGCTTTGAGATGTAAAATTTTACTATAACAAACGATATACAATGCATTTCAAAACTTTATTTTTGGGTCAACTATAGAAAAGTCATGTGACAATAAATATGTGCAAATATTGCTTTAAAGAAAGACATGAAAATACCATAATATAAAAACATAAGTGTCAGATTTCAATAATTAAAATGACATTACTTACCACAGTACTAGGTTATTGCCAAGGTATATATAGCTGTAAATAATGTGTCTTTAAAAATGTGAGAAAGGATTTAAAAACTGCATAAAGCTAGGCATAGCTCAATGATAAGATATCAGTACATGGAAATGACATACTGTGAGCCTCAGACACCAGTTTCCTTGTTATCATGTAAATGAGATGTCAGTGCCAGTGTAAAATCCCAGTGAAACTCAGGTCAATCTCAACAAAACAGTGTGATAATTCAAACATAGATCATTATTACGCATGCTTCAGGCATCGTTTGACTGGCCAAAATGTTTCCTAGTGATATTATAACAATTAGCAACTTTCACCTTTATTTTCAAAGTATAACGCAGCTTATTTTATTTCCTATGTATGTGGGACTCTTATTGTGAAAAGCAGGACAGGTATTAGCTCTGGGCTAAGTTTATGCAACAGTATCTTTTTATTGGCCCTGCCCATAGTAAGCTAACGCGACATAGCGCATATGATATAAATGACGTCAGTACACAATAACCGGTTATGATTATTACTGAACTGATACCGAATTGTCCGCGTCTGCATCGTGGTGCACCGAAGAAACAATTAATTTTGACACCCTTAGAGCGTATTATTGTTTTCTGAGGAGTCAAACTGAATTCAGATATTGGGGAGGCGAGCGCGAGTATTAACAATGCTGTAACTACTTAAAAACACAGAAACTGTGCTCAATTTCACTGCGTGTGTTTGCTGGGCGGTCTTTTACTGTCCGAGATATCAAATTGAACTGATCGATGGCATGATAATCGTAACCGAACCGTGAGACCAGTGTAGGTTCACAACTCCAACAGACATACAGTAATTGAATAAT